TTCCCGTCTCAAAAACTCACTTTTAGCGACGGGAATTACGTGCCGTCGCGAAAAATGATTTTTTCCCCATTATTTGCGACGGGAAAAATGCCGTCGCAAAAAACACACCTTACCGTCGCAGAAACTAATGGCGACGATACTTACCGTCGCGAAAGGTCTTTTGCAACCCCATCTGTCGCGACCCCCCCTTACTGTCGCAAAAAGCCACATTACCGTCACAAAAGGTATTAGCGATGGCTTCCGGGAGCATTTGCGACGACCGTTTACCGTCGCAAAAAACAAATTTTTTTGTAGTGAAATGCAATTTATGGACCAATTGAAGAAAGTGAGAAGATTGGGTTGGACCGATTAGATGATCAAAAATAGTAAGCTGATTAGTTTGTAGTTTATAATTTGTCAAATTACTTGTAAATTAACTAACCGACCCATATGTGTATATATATAAATCAAATAAATAAATAAATAAAATAAGAAAATTACATTAATCTTGTTACAAATAATATCTTCCTAAATCCAGTATCAATTAATTCGACTACGCTCACTGGAGATGGAGCGGCTATTGTGCCCTCGCAAAGTAGCCACTTGTGTGGGGTTATATGGGCCTAATTTCTATTCAGTTTATATTTCAAATCACATTGTTCTTTATTTTTGTTGACATAAATGCAATTTGATAAAATGGTTAATGATGCACAATTAAATTAATTTTTTTTGCAGGTATATTCTATTTAATATATTTTATAAAATGAACGGTTTAAACTATTAAAATGGATCCGAAATTGGCCTATATGGCCGCACAATAATAGTTGATGTGCCCTCGCATAGTAACCATCAATTTCCACGCTGATCCCTCTATTCTGTCATATATATATTTTTCTAGTTTGATCATTTTTGTATGTTGATTTGTGAATTATGATTACCATTAATTTGTGAGTTTTGTATTATGAATTTGAATAAATATTTTTCTTTTATTATTGCAAAATTAAAGTTTTATATTCTCTGATATTCATCCTCATTATAAATATTTCTAACTTGTCCAATAATACAAGTTTTATCAAATATTAATTTTATCTCCCAAACAATTCGGATTTCACTTTAGGCAAACTACTTCTTTAAGAAACTTCTTTTCGAGGCGTTAACGCCCCAAAATCACCAAATGGCGTCGGTTTGGCACGAAACTTGGCACACACGTCCGCCTAGGCACGAGAGACTTGTGGGAGAAGATGGGGCTCGAATCGGGTTCCCGGTTTGGGAGTTAGAGCCGGATTTCGGTCCAGTCAAAATTATTTACTAAACTATCTTTCTAATTATATAGTAGTCAATTTTTTTTTTTATATTTTTCTATAATTAAAATATTAACACATTATATGGTTTTTAATTATTTTTATCTTTTTTTTTTCAGATATTTCCTAAGTATCAGTTGGCTTTTTCTGGAATGCGGGCGTATCAAGATTATGACTAATTTTTGTTTTTGTAACCCACGAACGAATGAAGACGAAAACTTTTGATTTTGATTTTGATTTATGTTATTTAAATTTGGGAGCAACATTATGTATGTATTATGCGACGTTATGTAGTGGCATAATTTTTATTGTTATGAATTTTTATTTATGTATTGCTATGAATGGAACAATATTATTAATTTTCATTATTTGTCAATTTTTGTTTATGTACGTATTTATATTATTCTGTAATTTTTGAATTTTTTTATACTTATTTTTTATCTAATACAGGTTATTTTAATTTTTTTAATAATTTATTTCTACAATAGATAAACATATTTTATTTTTTGAGACGGGAGAAGAACCCGTCGCAAAAACCATTAATAGGCTTTTGCGACGGTACCAACACAGTCGCAAAAGCTGTCTTATTGAATGTACAGGACACCTTTAGCGACGGTAAACCGTGCCGTCGCCAATACTTATAAGATGCCAGAGCCTTTAACGACGGTAATGTTACCGTCTCAAAAACTCACTTTTAGCGACGGGAATTACGTGCCGTCGCGAAAAGTGATTTTTTCCCCATTATTTGCGACGGTAAAAATGCCGTCGCAAAAAACACACCTTACCGTCGCAGAAATTAATGGCGACGGTAGTTACCGTCGCGAAAGGTCTTTTGCAACCCCATCTGTCGCGACCCCCCCTTACCGTCGCAAAAAGCCACATTACCGTCGCAAAAGGTATTAGCGACGGCTTCCGGGAGCATTTGCGACGGCCGTTTACCGTCGCAAAAAACAAATTTTTTTGTAGTGGATTGTGCTTCGGATGCTTCATTCAGTTGAAATTTCAAATGATAAAAAACCAAAAATGTCATTAATATAACTACGAAAAATGTCATTAACATAACTTTTATGACTCCACCAGACAAAAGTAATTGCTAGACAAAATTCATTGCTACGTCAGGTGTAGGAAGAGTTGTTACAAGAGTCCTGCTACAAACTCAGAAGTTTATGACCGGAATTTATGAATTTTTAATTCAAATTTACTCTACATCCGAACTTAACTAAGCATTCATTCAATTTGCACTGTCCACATGTGTGGTGGGTAAAAATCAAACCATATAGGCTGCAACGGTGACGCAGGATGACTCGATTTTTGACCTGAAAAACACTCAGATAAAGGTAAAATGAGGGGTGGATGGAGCAGTCTGGAGACCCTTCAATGCCGAAGTTAGTGACAGAATCAAATAAAGTGCAAGATTATACTTGTGAGGTTCAGGTAGAAGTGTTTGCATACCTCCATTGTGCTGTTGGCTTTCTCTTTTATCGCATGCTCCTACTAACCATTGTTAACTTATTTTGGTCATATCATCTCTCCACTTTTTTATATATATATTTTTAAAAAACTAAAAAATTAGTTTTTAACTTACTTCTCAAAACAACCATTTTTTTGATATAATGACTCTATGGTGATAATATTATTATTATATTATATATTTTATAACTTGGTCATTACATTGGTAACGAAAATAACTAATATTATTCATCAAAATCAATTCAATAATAAGATATTAGATGATATATAAAATGTGATAAAATAATAAAATCATCAAAACATTATCGTTTATGAAATCTAAGAAGGCTGATAGAAAGAAAACATGGCAAATAATAAGGGTTGCAATGAGTCTCACATGCTATATAAGAAAATATAATTTTTACTACAAAATAAATAATTTTTATAATAAAAAGTATATTTTTTTTCTTATCACAAAAATATAACTTCTAAAATTATTTACAAAAGGCACAACTTCTATTATTCATAACTTTACCATTAATAATTTTTATTAAAAAAAATTATGGCTCTATTTGGATGTGTTTTAAAATTACATTTCTACCCTATTACTCCCGCTTCAAGTTTGGATACCACTTTCAAAATAAAATTCCACCATATAATTCAAAATACAATTTGAAAACCCGTTTGGCAGCTTTGTGATTCATTTTTCCACTTTCAACGTCTTCAGCCTTCTTCCTTTTCCTATCTGAAAAGCTTCCATGTTCATCGTCTCTGAAAAGGTTCACGTGAAACGATTTTTTTATGAAATTAGGTGACAATAATGCACCAACAAAAAGAAACGATTTTTTTATTAAGTTAATAAAATTTAATAAATGAAAAAATGTTGATAATGCTTGGTAACGTTTACGTTTTTGTTTATATTTAAAAAAATTGAACACACTGATTTTTGTTAATTTTTATCAAAATGTAATTTTCAAAGTTGTTGACTTCAACAAAATTTTTGAAAAATATTAAAAACGTATTGTACAAAATGTTTGTACATGCCTAAAAATTGAATTGACAGAAAAATTAATTGACACAAAATAATTGACATAGAAGTTATTTAAAAAAAAAATTATTCAAAAAAATTACTTAAAAACAATTAATTGAAAAAAAATCATTTTTTTTATTTGAGTATTTTAAAAATAGTTTGGTTATGACTGTTGATAAAAAATATGGATATCGATGTATGAGTTGTGTGTTTGATTATCAATTATAGGTTGAATCAAGTTTTGAAAACTATTTTGAAAACTCATTACCAAACAAATTTTCTTATTTCACATGTCACATCAAATTTTCAAAATTCAATTCCACATACAATTGAAAACTCAATTCAACACTCTATTTAAAAGCCATAATTCCACAACTCAAATCATAATTCCACAACTCACAAACTTAAAATACAACATATACTCTCAAATCATATTTATAAAACTCTACTAAACGCAACCCTAATTTTTCCTACCGACGTGCCTTGACATATTTTTCTCCCAAGTGTACAAATCTTCAAATGCATTCTTCAGCCTTACTGGCCCCATAGCGGGTCACGTTTTCAAATCTTAGACTCCACGTTTTCAAAAATTATGATTTGGTTCCGTTTGAAGATTTGATAAATTGATAAGAATTGGAACCAAGTTGTGACTTTGGTTCCGTTTTGAAAACACGTTTTCACATTTTGCATATTTTTCTCCCAAATGTACAAATCTTCAAATGCATTCTTTAGCCTTACTGGGGCCTATAGCGGGTCACGTTTTCAAATCTTAGACTCCACGTTTTCAAAAATTATGATTTGGTTCCATTTGAAGATTTGACTAATTGATAAAAATCGGAACCAAGTTATGACTTTGGTCCGTTTTGAAAATACGTTTTCACATTTTGCATATTTTTCTCCCAAATGTACAAACCTTCAAATGCATTCTTCAGTCTTACTGGCCCCATAGCGGGTCACGTTTTCAAAAATTATGATTTAGTTCCATTTGAAGATTTGATAAATTGATAAAAATCGAAACCAAGTTGTGACTTTGGCTCAATTTTGAAAACACGTTTTCACATTTAACTTAAAAGCGTGATTTATAATTATGTCTGCCAAAAAAAAAAAAATTCCCAAACACCACCAAATTCATAAAATATCTATCTACACATTTATCAGTCATTTCAAAGTCGTACCATCCACGCCGATCACTCTGTTCTTTCATCCACGCCGATCTCTCTGTACTTTCTCTCTCCAGATCTGCCGTCGATCCACACCGATCCGTCGGCGTCATAACTAGATCTGAACCACCGATCCTCCCTCTTTCTTCATCTCCCATCGTGAACCACCAATCTGAATCAGATCGTGAACCGTTGACTTCGCAGAGAACTCCGTCGCCGGCGGTGGTGTTGATCGGAGGTGCGGTGTTGATTTAGATTTGCAAGGTAAGTTCTAATCTACCTAAGTTTTATTAGTGGTTGGAGCACAATGTCTTTTCTCTCAATCTCCCTTTCTCTCTATTACATATGGAGCACATTATTTTTTTTTCTTCTTATTGTTCAGATTCATTCCTAGCTTTCAGTCGTTAGAACTCTGTAATTTTACTTTGATCATGCCATTCAAATTGAATGTAGATTCTTTGGTTGAGCTTAATTTGAATTATGGTAGGAATTTATACTGTGAAGATGTTGATCTGTTGCATTTTCTACAATTGTCCATTTTTGGTCCTCTCTCTCTTTTGAACATGTATGTGTTTTCCACAATTTATTTATTCAATTTATTTACTAAAAGAAATTAGGTTTTAATGTTTAGCTAATATTTGTTCGGGTCAAGAAATTTGCTTTGGTTTGTGATATGGTGACTAGACCATGTATGATGAAATGCCTCCCCTAAAATGGTGATTGTTTGAGAAAATTTTGGTATGCAGTGGCTGTAATTTTAATTGATAATGTTCAAAAAAACAGGAACCAGAACAGACATGGGGTGAAGAACTTAAAGACAGTGAGAAAAGATATTTGCAACTGGTCTAGCAAAAAATATAACGAATCCAAACGGAAAAATAGATTTTAAATAGTCAATCCAAATACATGGGATTTGGGAGAAAGACTGTTGAGTTAATGAATACTAAAGAAAATATAGACCTTGGTTGAAAACCAAGGGCAGAAAATAAATGAAAGGAGAAGGAAAGAAAATATGTATAGTAAGTTAGAGAGAGTGCATTACAGAGGCAGATTTGAAGTGCAAAAGTGGCTTTGACTTGGTAGAACATTTCTGCTATATTTTCAGCTTATCCACGCAAACAAGCCAATATTATTTCAGATCAACTTGTACAAATATAAAATAAACCAATTCTCACTTTTATTTCAAATGATAATTGAGTGAAGGTAACAGATATTTATTTAATTCATTATTATACTATCAACTCAAGTTTTTAATTCATTCTAATGATTATAAAATAAGAATGTAAATTTATAATTAATTTATTATCAAAAATAAAAAAATGTACAGACTTTTTAACACTTCAACTAAAATTTTAACTTCTCAAAATAGGCATCTGTTTATGTTATGGGGTTGAGTTTACACTACTGGCGATGTAGTAACGCTAAGTGTTCAGACTAGAAGACTTTGTTTAACCACTTATAATTAACGAAGCTTACTTATCTAATAACTATTTTAATGTACAATTTAAAACAAACGAACAAACAAAGATTTAAAAATATATATATGGACCGTTGATCCAATAAATGGATATTCCTTGTAATGCTAGTAAGTTTTCTTTGATGCAGGTCATTCTTTAATCTCTATGGGATGACACACAATTTGATAAAATTAGAAGTTAGAAAGCTGAAAATTGAAATTTGAGTGTTAATTTTTTTTAAGTTGAAAAATTATTTAATAAATTTAAATGTAGAATTAAAAAGATTATGTTTACGGTTATTGCGGTTTTCATTATGATTGTTAAATATGATAACTATATATTCTATTTATCATACATATCATATTATATTTATTACCATACTTAAGTTTCTTTCATCCTATATAAAGGAGTCTTGTATACATTGTTACATTAATTATTCAATATAATATTAAATATATTGTATAGAATACATTTAACTCTACAATCATTCAATACAATACATATTATTTTCTCTCTCTACTATTCTAACATGGTATCAAAGCTAGGTTAAGAACCTAGTATTTTTGCTTCACCGGCGGGCGGCAGCCTCGCTTTGGCTGCCCGCTAGACCTCAACCTATTCCGCTGTCATATTTTCTTGTCAATATTGCTTCGTGGTGATCTCTTCTTTTATCCGTTGGTTTATTCCTACCCTAAATATCTCTATTTTTTTTTTTTTTGGTGCTTCTGCTCCATTCTGTCTTTCCCTTTACTTCAATCTCAAATAGGTTTCTATCTTCAAACCTATTTGAGTTTGAGGAAGGGTTTTATACTTATATCATGGTAAGTATGTTTATACACCATGCAAACCTCCCAAGCCACACCCTAGGCATACTACCTAAGTCGCCCCTTGGCACACTACTTAAGTCGCCGCTTGGCGCACCAACTGCCCCCTTGGGGCACTACCTATGCCGCTCCCTTGTCACATTTTGTTCCTTTCCAAGCTACCTCCTAGCGCACATGGTTCCTTTCTAAGCTGTCCTCTAGCGCACATGGTTCATCTGTTGTCATCACCGTTCAGCACCACGCCATAAGTTATGTGTGTGCCACGTTTGCTAGTTCAATACCCATTCTTCTTCTACAATGGTCCGACACGACTATAAACTGTCTCAAAACATTAGCTCTGTTAGCTCCGGCCTTGTTCTTATAATGGTCCAACACGACCATAAACTGTCTCTCGGCATTAGTTCCGGTCTTTGATCTATCTTAAGTGCCCATGTACTCCCATTGGGACTTTGCAATCTATTTACCTCGGATCTATCTATATTTTATTTTATTTTTAATTTTATTTCAGGTTTTAGTTTTTCTCTCCAAACTCAAGTTGGTATCCCTACTTGAATTTGAGAGGAGTGTTAAATGTAGTAACTATATATTATATCGATCATAATACCATATTATATTCATTACCATACTTAGGATTATCATACTTGAGTTTCTCTCATTCTATATAAAGGAGTCTTGTATACATTGTTTTATTAATTATTTAACACAATATTAAATATACACATAATATAATATTCTATTTTTCTTTCCTTAATAGTGTTACAGTGATCCTAAAATAATTACAACTCTCTATATCAAAAGATGTGCCCCTTTAACTCCTAAGTTACATAAACCATAGTTAATTTAATATTTTGTACACTTGTAAGACATAGGTTGTGAAGAGTCATGATGTATGGCTGGAATCCACTGGAGAGAGTTCCAAATCTGCATAAATAGAGCTCTACCATCCCTTCTTTTGCCATTAAAAAATCTACATCTATTCTTCATGCGAAAGTCTGATTAATTCTTGCTTCATTTTTTTGTTTTTATTCGTTGATGAAACAACAGCTTACATAGGCCTACACAAAAGGCTACCATCTGGTATTAGAGTTTTTGGTTTGTGGAAGGAAGATCAGCCAGAAGGTAGAAAATATCCTTAAGAATTTGTACTCCCAAACATATTTTTACATCCCCATAATGGGAATTCCTATGGTGCGGCGTCCTACTTTTGACGGTGACGACTACAAGTATTGGAGTGAGATGATGCAAGATTGGCTTTTGTCTCTGAATTTGTGGGATATAGTAGTGGGTGTGTACGACGAGAACAACAGGGAGAAGCAAAACCAGAATGCTGTAGCTCTTAGTATAATCATGCAAAGCGTCTTGCCCTCAATCCGTCCAAAAATCAAGGATGCTACAAAAGCGAAAGAAGCTTGGGACATTCTCAAAAATGAATATCAGGTAAGAACCAATGGCTAGCTCAAATTTTATTATTATTATTATTATTATTATTATTATTTTTAATGTGAGAGGTTAATGGGTTACTCAGTTGGATCACACGGCTAATTATTTAGTAATTTCGGACTATAAACACATGATATTTCATATTATTGTGATTGGTAGAGAAGGAAGGTAAGTGAGGTATTGTGTTGAGTGATTGAGGAATATGAGGGGACAAAATAAATGATGATTGGTTGGAAATACGGACACGTGATACTTCGGGAATAGTCTATAATTTTCCGGATCACACGACTCAAATCATGAATTTCTGACATTCACACTATATTAAATTCTTAACAGACAACTATATGGATTACTAAGCAAACTGTCATATCCTACCATTTTCCATCTACTTGCATTTATAATTGGACAAATTTCACGGGTAATTATATTTTTACACACCAATTCCCCTCAGTGCGCACACTTAATGAAAACTTTCTCAATACACACATCAAAAAAACACACATAAAAAAAAAAAAAAAAAAAAAAAAAATCTCAACACACATCCATTTAATCCAATAATGCTCTTATATTTAATTTTAAAATCCTAATTTGTCTTTTATTCACTCACTCCTCCTTCGCTGTGTTGCCGCAACTTTCAACCCTCCATCGCCACCATCGCCGCCACTTCCAGCTCACCCCTTTTCATCTTAGACTCCACAGTTAACATCAAAAGTGGTTGGTTTGCAATAGGGGCTTGTGGTAGTATATGGTTCATAGCAGAAGGTGGTTGCGGGTAGAAGAGGAAAGATGCAATAAGAGAGAGGTGGCACTAGCAATGAAGGATGATTGTTGTGTTTTAGAATTAGGATTTGGATGGAAGAAAATAAAGGTATTATGGTATTTTTATTCTAGAACAAAATTATATTAAGAAAAAAAATTCAGTATGTGAAATGAGGGAAATTGATGTGTACGGATAGAATTATCCAAATTTCACTTTATTCTATTGTGGTTCGGTTCGAATTTGCTAAAATTGAAGATCTTAACTTCATAGGTGAAATTGGTGTATTGTGAGACTAATTTATATTCATGTCAATAATTTAAATCATTCATCTCATATGACAAGCTGAGAAGAATATGCATGTAAAAAATTCAATTAATTAAACAAAAGTAATAACATGATCAAATCATATATATATATATATATATTATAATAAATGGACGGCCTATTCTTAAAAATACTTAGACCGTATAGATAAAAATGATCTTATAATATAATAATCGATATTGGATCAACTTAATTTTTTATATGGATAATTTTTTCAATTAGTTGTGTAAGTTGAACGGTTTAGATTATTGAAGTAAGTTCAAGTTAGCTTGATAATGGATCAACTACACTGTAAAGTTGAGATCTTCAACTATAGCAAATCTGGACCCATTGTGGTTTGACCTATGTGGAGATTACCCCTTTTTATTTGCAAATAACCACATAGTCTTTTGTGATTTGTGGATCAAAGTACACTGTTAGGCCTGTTAACGATTTAATAAAAAATGCTAAAATATTTGCAAATAACCACAGTCTTTTGTGATTTGTGGATCAAAGTGCACTATTAGGCCTATTAACGATCTAATAACTAAAATATATCTGTATAGGGCGATTTACACGTTTGAAATTTAAAAATGAGCATATAACTCCCTTATGTCTAACATGTGTTGCATATTTGCTGCTAAGTTGGACATAATATTTAATGGTACACTTCAATACACAAATTACAAGGGATTTATGTGTGATTATTTCCAAATGACAATGGGATAATTCACACATGGGCAAAAGCAAAGGTGGTAAAATGAAATAACCTTTTATAATTGAAAAATGATATACAAGCCCACTTTTTAGATCCATTTCCTAGACTCAATGATATGTAAGTGATATAATTGATTGATGATTAGAAAATATATGAGAGAGAGTATTACCTTAAAAATCCTAATTGATTGTCACATCATTGAATTTAGAAATTGAGTTTAATTTTTAATATTTATTTTGTTTTTTATTTATAGGAACCAACTCTGCCTCTAAATATGACACCCTTAATACACATGGACATGAGGCGAACAAGTGAAATCCATTTGCTAGTGGCTACGCTTGTAGCAACTGTGACCTTTACAGCTGGTTTCACGATACCCGGTGGCTACAATGGCAACGAAGGCCCAAACCAAGGCATGGCCATTCTAGCAAAAGAAGCAGCTTTCAAAGCTTTTGTGGTAACAGATACCATAGCCTTGTCATTCTCTATTTCTGCAGTGCTTCTCTACTTCTATTCAGCTATTACTTCCAGCCCCCGTATGCGAAACAACCAAATTGTTATGGCTGCTAATCTTGTTATGTATGCTATGGTTGCAATGGTATTGGCATTCATTACAGGGACATATGTTGTGTTACCACATTCATCAGGGCTTGCTATTTCAGTTTGTGTTATTGGTTGCCTTCCACTCTTCATTTTCCTCATTTTCGTCATTATCAGCGCCATTGAATGCATAAATCGCCGTTGTTAAACATCTTTACAAGATTGTTGTTGGTATTTGTTGAATTGTAAGCTTGAAGAGCCTTCACCAGAGCCTTCGCCACCATCTATCAGTGTGTATTTGAAGGCTACATAGTCAAGAATGAAGTTTGAAGAACCTTCAGGAAATAGGAGTTCAATTTGATTTTGGTTTGCTACTGTGTGTTTTTTCTTGTGTTTAGACTGTTTGTTTACATTCTGAGATTAGTCTATAAATAGATTGAGAGGTTACCTATTTGATAAGAGTGTGGGAGAAAGAAAATAAGAGAGAGAGAGAGAGAGAGAGAGAGAGAGAGAGAGAGAGAGAGAGATTTGTAATATATGCTCTGTTTGTATTTTCAGAAATTTGTGAGTGAATTTAAATTAAGTTTGGTTCAGTGTTAATCATTTATTTGTGAATCACAATGGTCCTGTTTGGTAGGGTTTATTTCCAGTTTATTTCATCTTTTAGCTTAATTTAAGTTATTCTAATGTGTTTGGTTCAGCTTAATAATACAGCTTATAGCTTTTTGTAAGTAAAAAATAACTTATTCTTTGAGTAGGGGAGGAGAAGTTTAATTTATAAATCAAAAATTAATTTATGTTCACAATTATAAGCTATAAGCTGTTAAGGTATAAGTTATAATCACTTTTCCACAACTCTACCAAACGGGGCAAATAAGTGATTTACATCTCACTCCCACCAACAAGTGATATCAGAGCAAAAAGAGCCAAGAATTGGTCAAATTTCGAAAAAACAAATTGTGAAACAGAGCAAATTTCAGAATCTAAAATTTGAAAAGTTGTTGAAATCAACTTTCGATCATACCAGTGTGTAGCCCTCGTCGAGACGATCGTTCTAGAAAAAATCGTGTAAAAAACGAAGCTAAAATGAAACTATAAGAGCTGGTCAAAGTTTGCCCATAAAAGTCAACTCTATTGTTGTTGCTGACGTCATCATACTGCAGTTCAGAATAAATTATTTGGTGATTTGCGGGTCATAGATTCAACATATCTGAATTGACCAAAATTGTTTTAGCTTGAACTAAGTCATTCGATGTTTGATTTGGACGATCCAATAGTGCTTTCTAGTTAGTTGGAATATTCTAGACACATCCGTACGGTCAAAATTTACAAATTTGTTTTTTAAAGATTAAAATCAACCAATGGCCAACAGAAGTACGCAAGCCCTCATTTCAAAGCTTACGAAGGACAACTATGACAACTGGTGCATCCAAATGAGAGCACTGCTAGGTGTTCAAGGCGTCATGGACGTCGTGGAAGACGAATATACTGAACCCGCCTCAAAAGAAGAAGAATGTGCCTTGCCCGAAGCAAAAAAACAATTCTTTGAACTGAACAAAAGAAGGATTGCAAAGCAAAATCCATCATATATGAAAGTCTTGATGGGAGATCATCGCCTCCTCCAAAACAGCGAAAGAAATCTAGAAAACTCTCCACATGACTGATAAAGGTGCTGATAAAGTAAAGAGGATTCGCCTCCAAACTCTTTGAGGTGAGAGTAATGGTGATTGCAAACCAATTAAAGTGGAATGGAGAATCCCTTCTTGATATGAGCATATCAGAGAAAATTTTGTGATCTTTGGATCCAAAATTTGATTATATTGTTGTCGCTCTTGAAGAAACCAAAGATCTTGAGATAGTGTCCGTAGAAGAACTTGTGGGTTCACTACAAGCCCATGAGTAGAAAGTGATGAGAAGAAATGAAGACAAAGGGTCGGAACAAGCCGTATAGTCAAAGTTGTCCCTTATTGGAGAGAGATCTGAGCAAGTGGGGACATCACAAAGAGGACGAGGACGTGGTCAAGCCTATCGTAGAAGAAGTTCTGGAAATTATTACTCCAAAGGAAACAGAGGAAACAGAGGAAGAGGTTTATCTCAAGGAGGACGAGGATAACAAAGTTATGTCTCGAGAGGAAGAGGACCAAGAAGAAGAGGCGGTTACAACAATCGTCAGAATTTTGATAAAAAGCAATGCCCAGTGTTACCATTGCCACAAGTTTGGTCTCTACAACGAGTGTAGAGGTAAACAATCATCTAATGAAGTTAGTGAAAGAACTAACTATGCAAAGAAAGAGTCCGTTGACAAAAGATTTATTGAGCTTGATGGTGCTCAGTGTAACCGAACACAAAGAAGACGTATGGTTTCTAGACTTTGGAGCTAGTAATCGTATGATTAGTAGAAAGAGCTTATTCATTGAGCTTGATGGGAATGTTCATGGGGAAATCTCATTCGGTGACCTCTTTAACGTCCCAGTTCGAGGAAGAGGTGATATTGTGATCAAGAGGAATAATGAAGATCATGCTTTCATCTCCAATGTCTATTATGTTCCAGACATGAAGACCAACATATTGAGTCTTCGACAACTCCTTGAAAGAGGCTATCAAATTAGCCTGAAAGATATGTTGCTCACAATTCTAGACACTCGAGGGAAGCTGGTTAATCGAGTAAAGATGACGAAGAACATAATGTTTCCTCTCACCATTCATCATGACACACCAAAGTGTCTAAGTGCAATGATAAATGACAAAGACTGGATGTGGTATCTCAGATTCGAACATCTCAACTTTGAAAGCTTGAAGTAGCTGGGAAACAAGAACATGGTGAAAGGTATGCCCAACATTTATCAACAACTGAGATGTGTTAAACTTGTATTATTAGCAAGCAATACAGGAGTAGCTTCGGAAAAGAAACAAATTGAAGAGCAACCAAGCCGCTCGAACTGGTTCACATAGATGTGTGTGGTCCATTGAAACCAATATCAAACGGACAAAATAGATACTTTCTCACTTTCATTGATGATTACAGCAGGAAGACTTGGGTGTATTTCCTCAAAAGGAAGTCAAAAGTGCTTGAAAAGTTTAAAGAATTCAAAACTCTTGTGGAGAAGCAAATCGGTTATTATATCTAGACATTACGATCAGATCAAGGTGGAGAATACAAGACGAATGAGTTTGAAGAATTCCTTATGCAGCAAGGAATCAAACGACAGTTTACACCAGCTTATACTCCCCAATTGAATGGAGTATCTGAACAAAAGAATCGCACGATCACAAACATGGTCAAAAGCATTTTACGAGACAAGAATATGCCCAAGAGTTTTTGGGTTGAAGTAGTTTCATGTGTAGTCTATTTGTTGAAAAGATGTCCCACAAAATCCTTGACAATGAAGACACTACATGAAGCATGGAGCACTCACATGCTGAGTGTGAGTCATCTCAAAATCTTTGGCAGCATTGCCTACGCCAAGATTCCAGAAGCAAGAAGAACAAAGCTTGAAGATGAAGGAGAAAAGTGTATCCTTGTTGGATATGGTGATAGTACAATAGGGTATAAACTATTCAATCCCATCACGAAGAAAATGTTTTTCAGCTAGGGTGTCATCTTTAAAGAAAATGAGTCTTGGAAATGAGACAAGTCTAAATCCTCCACAAATGCAGAGCTAACATTCGAAGATGAAGAATTAGATCAGCCAAGAGAAATGGCTAGGGAGCCACCATCACCCAGAGAGCAAGAGATATCTCCTCCTGGTTTCTCTTCATCACAGAGGAATGAAACTCAATCACCAATAGAACAAGAAATTTCAGACATGAGGCCTAGAAGGATTCGCAATCTACAAGATCTGTATGAAAATACAGAAATAATGGATGAAGATACCAATCTATTTTGTCTACTGATGAGTAGTGATCCAGTTAGCTTTGAGGAAACTAACAATGAAGATAAATGGAAGATTGCAATGGATGAAGAAATCAAAGCCATTGGGAAGAACAAGACTTGGGAGTTAACTACTCTCCCGAAGGGCCGCAAAAGTATTGGAGTGAAATGGGTCTACAAGACTAAAAGAAATGCTCAAGGAGAAGTTCAAAGATACAAGGCAAGACTTGTTGCAAAAGGCTACAAGTAGAAAGAAAGAATTGATTATGGAGAAGTCTTTGCCGCTGTTGCCAGATTAGAGTCTATCTAGTTGCTAATATCATTAGCAGCACAGAAGAGTTGAAAGATTTACTAACTGGATGTCAAGTTACCATTTCTTAACAGATTTCTTGAAGAAGAAATCTATGTGGACCTGCCACCTAGATACGCTAGAAAGACCAGGAAAACAAGGTGTACAGGCTTAAGAAGGCCTTGTACGGATTAAAGCAAGCTCCTCGTGTGTGGAACATGAGGATTGATGATGATTTCCAAGAGAATGGATTTGAGAAGTGTCCCTACGAGCATGCACTTTAGTTGAAGAAAGAAGCTGATGGAAGCTTGTTGTATGCATGCCTCTACATTGATGATTTGATATTCACCAGGAACAATCCAACAATGTTTGAATCCTTCAAGAAGAGTATGGTTCGAGAGTTTGAAATGACAGATATTGGATTGATGTGTCATTTTCTTGTCAATGAAGTAGTTTAAAGTAGTGATGGAATCTTCATCTCGTAGAGTAATTATGCGAAGGATATTCTCAGGAGATTTGGTATTGAGAACTATAACTCTGTCACAACACTTGTTGAAACGGGATTGGAGTTAAGGAAGAATGAGCAAGGAGATGTTGATCCTACATATTTCAAGGGTTTGATTGGAAGCTTGAGATACCTAACCTATACTAGGGCATATATACTCTACGGAGTTGGGTTTGTTAGCAGGTACGTGGAGACCCTTGACCAGTCTCGTCTAAATGCATCAAAAAGAATACTCCGTTACATCAAGGGTACCATCAATGATGGAGTATTCTATACAAAGAGTCAAGACTTCAGACTTATTGGCTATTCAGATAGCGACTGGGGAAGAGACTTGGATGAAAGAAAAAGCACAACTGAATTTACATTTTTCATAGGAGAAACAACTTTTACATGGTCATCAAAGAAGCAAGCTATTATGACCTTGTCATCTTGTGAAGCTGATTATGTTGCTGCCAACTTTGTTGTCTGCCATTGTATATGGATTAGGAATGTGTTGAAATATTTGGGATTTCTACAAATTAATCCCACAGAAGTCTACATTGACAATAGGTCAGCAATCGCATTAGCAAATAATCCAAGTTATTATGAAAGAAGCAAGCATATTGACACCCGCTCTCTCATTTCATTCGAGAGCATGTGAAAAAGAAGAAGGTGGAGTTATTTCCTTGCAAGTCTCAAGATCAGCTTGTAGATATTTTCGCAAAGCCATTGAAAAGTGATTTTTTCAACAGAATGAAGATGATGCTTGGGATGAAGCGACATGGGAATCAAGCTTAAGGGGGGGGGGGGGATGTTGAATTGTAAGCTTGATTAAAGAAAGGCCTTCACCAG